TAATGTGCTATAATATCTATTAAAAAGTAACTAACTCTTGTAACCAGACTTGTACCATTTAGGGCAGTTTTTTGACTATGGCTGGGTTTACATTACTTTCCACTTTTCTATTCAGAATCAGAGAACCCCATACTGGTTTGGGTTGGAAGGGATCTTTAAAGATCATCTAGTTCGATCCCTCTACCATGGGCAGGTACACCTCGCACTAAACCAGGTTGCTCCAAGCCCCTGTGTCCAACCTGGCCTTGAACACTACCAGGGATGGGGCAGCCACAGCTTCTCTGGGCACCCCGTGCCAGCGCCTCACCTGCTTCACAGGGAATATTTCCTTCCTAATATATATGTAATCTCTCCTCTTTCAGTTTAAAGCTGTTCCCCCTTGTCCTGTCACTACAGGCCCTTGTCCAAAGCCCCCTCCAGCTTTCTTGTAGGCCCCTTAGGGCACTGGAAGCTGCTCTAAGGTCTCCCTGGAGTCTTCTCTTCTCCAGGCTGAACAACCTCAACTTTCTCAGCCTGTCTTTGTAGAAGAGGTGCTGCAAATGTTGCACCTTAACAGAAGTGGAGCCCTGTTTTGCTTAGATTTTTTTTCTTTTTTGCAATAGGTCCCTCAGTCTCTTATGGCTTCACTGTTGACCAAAAGTTAACTTGGATAGAAGCAAAACCCCAGCCACCACCAGACAGAACCTGATTGCATCATCCTTAAACCATGAGTGGTCCTGATGGGTGCGCTGGGCTTTTCTCTGCTCCTGCCACAGCACTGTGAGGCAGCGGGGTCCTCTTGGACCACCAGGGGGAGCAGAACCGGGATAAGAAGCCAAGAGAGTTTTCCTGGGGAAAAGAAGGGTTCTCCTCCCCATTTTCAGTAATGTAATTTACCCATTTTGCAAGCCCAAGAAAAGCATAGCAGACTACGCGCAGGATAGCTTATAAAGAGACAAGACCAGAAAGCTGGCAATTCAGTCAACAGTGGAAATACACTTTTGCGCCTGATTAGGTGTCCTGCCAGGGCATCAGGAGTTAGAGAAACACCTGTAAGTAAAGTGATGATGAACCAATATGTGGAGAGAGGAGTTTTATGCAGGGATACTGGACTTCTAGTGCATGTCCACATCCTTCACAGTGGTATGTCATCTCTGTTAGGTGGAGAATACATACAGGAAGCTGCCCACTCCTTTTGAATGGAGACCAAGTAAGGAGCTGTCTACATTCCTGGTGGCAAGAAGACATGAAGCAATGAAGAGAAACAGAAGATTAAGGTAGGAAAGGACTACTGGTGGTCTTTAGCCCAAATACGTACTCACAGCAAGCTTAACAACATGGATGTGTCAGGTTGCTCAGGGCCTCATTGAGGCAAACCCTGTGCATCTCCAAGGGTGTTTCTCTCTGGATATGTGAGGAAGAGTGAGGGAGTGTACTCTGCTTCCACTGGGACTGAAACCCCACATTTATCCCTTGTCTCTATCAGCTTAATTCATTCCTTTGTCCTTGTTATTCTTCTCAGGGGAGAAAGACAACCAGCTTGACTACTTGTGTAGTCAAGTCTTAAAGTCCCTAAGCTGGGGGTGACCATTTTATGATCAAGAGGAGTCACTTGTGCTCCTTTGAGCTGTTTAAAATAGCCTGAGTTTCTGAATGATAAAAGTCCATATATGAAACTGATTTAACAGCTTAAACCACTAGATGGTGGGAGTCTATTTTCTGCAGGTAGACTGTGAAGCCAGCTGTTCGAAATGTTCTAAGATAATTGCTGATGGAGTAAAGCCAGAAAACTTTCCAAGATAAAAAAAAAGAAAACACTAGAATATTAAACTGTGGTTATGGAGGAAAGAATAAGAAGGAGAGGGAGAGCACATATTCTCTACATGGAATTAAACACTGAAACAGAGCATCCCCTATGTTCTACAGAACTGCCACAGATTTTTCTTAGAGTTGCAGAGAGAGTGGATAAAAGGAGTGAACCAGATGCCACAGAACAAGGGCAAGTTCCTCCTTTAGACTGAAGTGGGGCTTGTTGCAACATGTGATTGGGGCCCCTGGGAGCCCTGTACCTCTATGTTACTATAGCACCTGAAAGCCAGTTCAGGATGCACAGGTTCAAGTTATCAACACCAAAGGGATGCTTTGATAGTTTCAGATGTAACATCAAGTGAGGAATTCCAGAGGTTGTTTCCAGGTTCAGTTTCATACATTCTAACAACACAACAGTGAAACTCACAGCTCTTTCTAAAATGTGAGCAGCAGCAAACACAGTAAACAATTTATAAGAAACATATGAAAGAGTTCTGTCTGAACTGCAGTTCAAAAGAAGCACATCCCCACTCAGTCTTGGGAGTGCCTTTTGACTGTCCCAACAGTACCTCAAGGCAAGACGTGGTGCATACCCTTCCTCCTCACTTCCCTCACCACAGGCCCACGTATGTGTAGGAGGAAAGCCCAGGTGTGTTGTGTAGTGATGTTTTCCAGCTAGATACCTAACCTTAGCGATACATGAAACAGGATGCTGAGAAATTGAAGGAAAAAAAATATGCCCTGTGATTCAGAAATACTCAGAGGGACTATAAACACAGGATGAGATTCAACCCTAAACACACACTCAGGCTGCAGTTATTTTCTTACCATCAAAAAGCATGCAAGAGATGGGAAGCCCACTGAGAAGCCACAACAGTGGCGTGGAGGTGTCAATCACAGAATCATAACATCTGATCATAAAGATTGCTTTCCCCCTGTGCTGAGCTCTGGTGAGGCTGCACCTCGAATCCTGTGTTCAGTTCTGGGCCTCTCACTACAAGACAGACATCGAGGTGCTGGAGCAGGGCCAGAGAAGGGCAACAATGCTGGTGCAGGGCCTGGAGCGCAAGTGTGATGAAGAATGGCTGAGGGACCGGGGGGGTTTAGTCTGGAGAAGAGAAGGCTCAGGGGGGACTTTATTGCTCTCTACAACTGCCTGAAAGGAGGTTGTAGTGAGGTGGGGTCGGTCTCTGCTCCCAAGGAACAAGTGATGGGACAAGAGGAAACAGCCTCAAGCTGCACCAGGGGAGGTTTAGGCTGGATATCAGGAACAATTCCTTCCCCAGAGGGTGCTCAGACATTGGAACAGGCTGCCCAGGGCAGTGCTGGAGTCACCGTCCCTGCAAGTGTTCACACAACGTGTAGACGAGGCCATCAGTGATATGGTTTATTGATGGCCTTGGCAGTGCTGGGATAATGATTGGACTTGATGATTGTTAAGGTCTTTTTCAATCTGGTTGATCCTATGACTCTATGATTATTTTTTAATTTTTTTTACAAAGACAAAATCCAGTCTTATGATGCACAAGCAAAATGATGCCGTCAGTGAAATACTCAGTGAGTTGTATGAATAATTCATATGTGTACTCCACTCTACTGGGTACAGCGTCTCTGCAGATGCCCTCTTTTTCCCTTTGGATCTGTATTTTAATACAGAGGAGAGCACATGGCAAAACAATGCAGCAGATCTTTTACAGATACCAATAAAATTCCAGGCATTTGGGGTTTCTACTTTATGCTTGCACTTGTTTATAGATTTGCTGCAGATCTTGATCTTGCTGTTTGGCTATCGTTGTACATATTCTGACTGGGAGCTACAGTAGGTGAACTCCAATCTACAAAATAACCAAGCACATGTGACTTCTGACCACCGTCATTTGGAATACCCCAATTTCTGATGCTCATCAGCCAACACTAACAAGGGGGGAGAAAAAGAAAGTAAGTCTTTTCTAGACCATCTTCTCCAATAAGCCCTAGTAAATCTGTTCCTGCCTATTCCAAAAACCTTAGATCAAATAACCCGAGTACCTGCCCACTTATGAAACAGAGTCAGAGCATCCCCAGCTTCTTCAGCCTAGAGCTTTGGTACTTCTGAGATTCTACAGATGCAGACTCAGGTAGCCCTGAGGAACTGAATGTAAGGTTGCAACACTGATTTTTTTTTTTTGCCTTAGGAAGGGTATGAGCTCCTGAGATGCCCTAGAGCCTTATCCTCCAGTTGCAAATGGTTCTTCCCCATTTCATGTCTATGTAGGCCTCACTGTGTTGTCCTGTCAGAAAGGAGAAGTTAGCCATGGATCGATCTGCCCCACTGCACATCGTAGACCAAAGAAGGCACAGTGTTTTACAAAGATTGAAATGGATGCATTCCAGTAGTGCAAACACAAGGTACGGGATGTAGACAAGGACAACCTTATACTGGTGCTGCAATGGGAGTCATTCAAATCTGGGGGAAAGGTGGGCATGAAAATCTAAGACTTAGCACTGTAGACTGAGGAAAAGCACTTTGGACTGGATTAAACTGGAATAAATTTAAGATGTAACTACTCTAAATGACATTAACGTTTGAATTATTTGTACTGGTATTTTACTTCATGTGCATGTAAAATTTAAAACTTTAGTATTTGAGCCATTTGTTCTCAAATTTCTCTTGCCTGTGTCCAAACTTCTTGGGATAGATTTTGGTTTGCCAGAGATGTACAGTTAGAGAATCACAGAACTCACCACAAACATGTACACGTAAAGGACCTCAGGAGGTCTGTAGTCACAGCCCCTGCTCACAGCAGGGCTGACTCCAGAGGTAGATTAAGTTGCTCATGACAGTGTCCTGGCGAGTCTGGAACATCTCCAAGGGTGGAGATCCCCTAGCTTCTATAGCCATACTAACAAAGTCCTTTCTTTAGTCTTCCCTGGGGAGGAGGAAGAGAGCAGCTTTGGAAGGCAGCCTTACAGCAAGTGGAGGAAAAATGCCATCTGTGTTTTATGGGGAGGGGTGGAAGAGCTGTGTATGGGTGGGAGTAACATCCTCGGTGAATGGCAGAAGAGATACAACAAAAAGCAAGTTATTTCCTATTTATGTGCTTCGGGAAGGAAACTAAAAGCTTTCCTACACAGAAAGAGAATCCCGGCTCAGTTCCTCTCTGTATTTTTGTATTGCAAAGCAGGCACTGTCCATTGATGCTGAGGCGCTTACTGAAAGAAAAGCAGACAGAATGGCACGGCTATCGGTCTGTTACACGCTGTCACAGCCTGCAGAGCAACGTGGCCCGCTGCCACTCAGTTCAGACCTAGGAAATCCTCCTGAATACCTCTGGCGAGGACAGCTGAGCGGCTCCAGCCGCATTACCGCGGGGCAATGGACCGAGCAGCCCCCATCGCAGCGCTGGGCTGTTTTCATCTCTAGCAGCCGGGGCCCGCAGCGCGGCGGCGGAAGCATGAGCGGGGACGGTGGCGAGGGCTGCCCAGGAGGTGGCAATCGGGAGCCTCGTACGAGAGTGGAGCAAAGGTGGAGGGAGGCTCCCAAGAAAAGGTGGCTGCCTTTAAGGTGGGTTTATTTGCCTGCCGGATGGGAAGTCTGTGACCAGCCCCTTTAAAACAGGTAAAGGCGGTACGGCTTCTCCACCCACTTGCCTTGATCTTTCATCATAACTGTGGGCCAGGCAAGGGAGGTTGTGCAATGTGTGTGCTCCAGTCAGGAGGCTGCGGGAGAGGTTCATGCACTGCGAGCAGGAGCCAAGGCTCAGAGGCCTGAGCAGCCAGGGGCTGGGACCCAGACCCCCTCTCCAGCCAGCATGGAGCTGAGAACCTGGAGCAGTGGGATCGACCTCTCCCTTGGGCTCCTTCTCTTTTGGGCTCTCCTTCCTCCTGAGGTGCCAGGGAAAGAAGGTAAGCGTGGGACCCACCAGTTCCTCTGCCTGGAGGGTTGGGCTTGGGCGGGCAGGTAGTGTCCTCTCTGAGGGGCAGGGAATGGGGCATGGCCAACACGTGTGGGGGCTCAGGGGCACCACAGCCTGCCCAGAGGCAGCTGGAGAGGGACGGGGGTCTCTAGGGAGGGCAGGTGGGCACAGAGGGAGCAAACCCCAACCGAATCATGGTGGCTCAGTGAAATGAGTCCAGGTGTGTCTCCCCCTTCCCTCTTCACCCCCTCCCAGTCGAAGCACAAATGCCTCTGCGTATCCAGTGATCCAGGAGAATTCTGTCTCTGCCTTAAACACAAGTGTTGCAGATAACAAGTTTAAACACAAACTCGGAAAGCTCCCCCCACCTCCCGCCGCCAACACCCCACAGTTTCCTCAGGAAGCCTTCTTAGGAATTAACCCTTGTGAGCAAGAGGACAGTCATTTTTGCAGAGGCTTGGAAGGTGAGACAGTCTCCTTCACCTAACCCACTGCTGGAAGGTAGAGCTGCGCTTTACAATTTGCTCTTCCACCTCTTTTCTTAAGTCTCCCTTGCTTCCTTTCCACATAGTCCCTTTTGTTAGACGTAGTGATCGTTTTTCTTCCATCTTGGCACAGTGGTTATGAAACATCCGGGGAATGGAAATCTTTAATAGAGAAGCGAGAAGGAGTAAACCCCTGTTCTGTTCCTTACCTCCTCCTGCAGTTAGCTCCTGCCAGAGACTTCTAGTCTGTTTTGCACAGAGAGAGGTGTTGGGATTTTTCAGTCCCAAGGACAGCCCTCTCATTTGCTGCTCCAGGCTCTCGATCGAGAGGACTTAGTCATAACTAGCAGTTCAGCCATGGGCTCTTCTCAGACTCTGCGAGTGCAAAGTGCTCTTCTAAAGCATTCTTGACCAGCACACTTGTACCGAGAATCCGGCTACACAGACATAGCTAGCAGACATTGTGCAGAAGGCCAGACTAGGTGAGAAGTAACGTAAGGTATCACCAAGCAGGTTCTGATTTCCATAAGTGTGTGACCAGTAGTTGGCAGTAAAAGACAGTGACTTACCTGCCAGCTTCTCCCCTATCTCGGCCATCTCATTTGGGCTGTGTCTGTGATGCACTCTTCCTTAACGTGTCTATTTGGGAACAGCTCATTTCCCCGGCATCCTCTTTTATCTGAAGTCTTCTTTCTGGGGAGATCTCCTCCCATGTGGCCAGACAGCCCCGTGAATTCCTAGCAGTGAGTTAGTGGACCAAAGAGCCAGCAGCTGCTGCCTACTTGAGTACTGCTCTTGTATTCTTGCTGACACATTCTTACTTTAGTTGGAGAAGCTCTGTTGTGGCTTTCACTTTGAGAGGTACTTATTGAGAATGGACTTCGCCCCCTCCAGTGGGGACTTCGCAGCTGAAGCCCAGCAGCGTGGCAGATGGGCTCTGCAAGGTTCCTATCCCCATCTCTTCAGAGTTCCTTTTCCCTTGCTCTGCTAGAACTTGCCATGCAGCCCCTCTCACCTCCGCATCACTGCTTCAGGCCTGAGGTGCGTGGGATAGATATTATCTGGGTGATGGTTCTGGAAGGACAGGCTACCTCACCCTGGGAGCCAACAACACAAGAACAGTATCTCAAATAATGGAGAGCAGAAGGAAAGCGAGTGAGGAGCCTTGTCTGGACAGGGAGTTTGTGGCTAGGAAGGTTTTGCCATATGACCATGCTACGAACGCTGTGAACTTGCAAAACCTGGATTCCTGCTTTTCCCTTCTCCCCATCATGAAAGAGTGTTTCAGAGGTGAGAACAGCAGTGCAATCCCTCTTATCTCTGATTCTGGGCCCACAGCCTGCTTCCTCATTCCACAGGACTCTTGCTGATCTGCACTTTACACTCTATTACTTATAGTTGGCAGGCAGTATTTGTAAAGCAGTCAGATGAGGGGGAGGAAATCTGGTTATTTAAATACCATTTAAATAATGCCCCCTCCTACCTTTCACCCCCAAATTCTTTTCTGAGATGGTTTAGTGTGTGGTGTCCCTGCCCATGGCAGGGGAGTTGGAACTAGATGATCTTAGGGTCCTTTCTAACCCTGACCATTCTATGATTCTATGATTCTGTTTAGAAATAACCCCTCTGAATACACCTGCAGGCATCTAAAAGGGAATCCAAGGAATTTTTCCTGTTTCTTATGTTCCTGTGCGATAGGTGCACCAAAACCAGTAGTCTGTTCTGGCAACATTGTCAGACCCAAAGGCAAGCACAAAGCTGCACATCCAGCAGTACCACTTTCTCTTCTCCCTGTTTGCTTACAAAATGATAGATTTTCAACTTCTCTTCAGATCAAGACTTCGGGGCAAACTCTGATCACATTTTCTAATGTCTTTGAGAGACGAACATACCGCTTGAGTTTCTCCTTTGTCCCATGACTCCAGGAGCCAAGGCACAGCCATGCAGGGCAATTCTGCAAGAGGTGGCAATGCTATGCCTGGGAGCAGATATTCTCTGGCTGTCGTGGCTAGAACAGTTGGGGAGGTGGGGAGACTGAAGCGATTTCTAGCCCATCATCAGATGGTGGATAGCCTGGAGCAGAGGTAGAGGGCTCAGCAGTTTGTGCAACTGATGTATCTCATGTCGTTTGGGTACTGTGTCAGTGGGAAGTCCCTTTGTTGCCTCTGTATTTCCCCACTGTGTTTCAAGTACTGCATAGTACCTCTAGGCGACACTGATTGATCTTTTGTGTTGGTAATTTATTCGATTGCCTGCCTTTTCATCCATTTTATTTTCTGCCTTCCTATTTGGAGGAAAGATGTGTTCAGCTGCTAATGCTGGGTTCCCATTTCAATAGGCTGCAGCCTCCTGTTCCCATTTTCGGGCAGCTTTAGGAAGCAGAAGAATTTGTCAGGATTGCATTTTTTTATATGTGAGATGAGAGTGGAAGGGGAGAGGGTCTCATATATGAGGAAAACCTGATTAGTTGCACTGTCATGTATCTTCCCATCCTTCCTCTTGCTGTGCTTTTTGAAGGTTAAAGGTCACAAAGGATGTGGGGTTGAGAGAGAAAGTGCAGGCTCTGTATTCTGTGACAAAACTAGGATGAAGTTATTCCATGGGCCATGTAAATTGGGTCATTGACTTTCCCTTCCCCCCCCCCCCCCCCCCCTTTTGGTTTTCAGTGGATCTACTCGACACAAGCACTGCACAGGGTGAACTGGGCTGGCTTCCAGACCCTCCTGAAGTAGGGGTGAGTACACACATTCAAGGAAGGGGAGCCACTGGGAGTACTAAATGGTGGAAAAGCGTAATCCACGTTGAAATTTCACTCTGCCTCCCAAAATCGGGCTTCTGCAGCTCCACCCTCTCCTCTGCATTGTATGCTTTCTAAGTCTCTCTCCCTTGCAGCCCCTTCACCTCTGCAGCCTCACCCTCTAGCCAGCTGTTTAAGGACCGACACCTATTGACTTCCACTAACTCTCAGTGATTAAATATGTCCTTCAAATGTATTGTTTCCATGAAATAATAAAACTTAATGGAGAAAAGGGAAAAAAATAATCAAATCATCACCCAGTTTTTCATTCTAACATGTTGCAAATGCATCTTATGTCTCCTTTTCCAGGCAAATAGCCATGGCAGATTATTTCTGTCTCCAAGTCTCTCAAGAATTTAGAATCTTTGTCTGTTTAAGGTCATTTTGGTTTTTTGCCTCTTAGGTATTGAACTGAGAGATTCAGTGAAACATTTTTCAACTCAGCATCTGATTTAGGAAATAACTGTTAACTCTTGGGGCAGTAATCTGGCCTACTGAGTGGGCTATGAGGTTCTAGGGCTTTACACCCAGCTGATAATGACAGAGGCATTTCCTTTTGCTTCATGACTGTAAAATCGAGTTGATGGAAGTGCTTCAAAATCTATTCCTGAAACCACTGCACAACTGGACCCCAAAAGACAGCTGAGCTCTCAGCTATTTTTGTACAAGCACAGCTATTTTGTATGAAGTTGAGCAGTCCCTCTAGCATCACAATCTATGTTACTGAAGATGGTTTCCTTTGTAGCAGCAGGACTGTGGGAGTGCTGGAAGGAAGAGGGAATTCAGGGACTTCACTGCAGTAGTTGGAAGGATGTATGTTAATACACAGTTCCAGTTCCTCACCCATGCTCTTATCTGTCTAGCAAGCTCCAAGGTCTCCTGTGGAGAAAGAGTCTTTACCCTTGCTGTTTATGAAGTAGACCTGGGTTCAGCCTGTTTCTAACTCATTATCATAACTTTCCTCTGTAATGCGCTGTGGCTGGTTTAAATTCACCCCAGCCTCCTCCTGGTAGTCTTGCTGGGTGAACCAGAGCCAAACAGTGAGGTTATCCTGTACTGGCACAACTGCACTTGTTTCATTAATACAGCTCTTTTGGTTATTATTATACCCTACTCAGAACAGATGCCCTAGTGAGACATACATGGAGATGATGTTTTGCCTGTTATTCTCTTTGTTGTCCCCATCAACTGTCTGTGTGGTAATTTTAACCCAATATTATGCTCTAGGCATGTTCAGGATGAAGTCTGCCTCTCAAAGAGCTTGGAAAAAGACACTGAAAAGTGCATTCTAAAAATAATCTGATAGAAAGAAGACAAAACCTTTGTTACAGAACATGTGATTTGTGCACAGGAGGTTCAGAGCAGTGCTAGGAGCTGGCATACCCTTCTGCTTGTGCTACACCTACTTCTTACAATATGTACATTTAAAATGCAGTAGTTGTAACTGTGAATTGTAGAGGATGCTGGAAAATGTGGCCTGAGAGCAAGCCAAATTAATAGATCAGAATACTGATGCCTGATAAACTAACAGAGGATGAAGAATTGATTCATTGACTTCTGATGAGTGACTCTTTTGCAGGGATTTGTGTAATTACATCATTTCCTAATCACTATTAGGTGGAAGGCTGACAAACTGCCACAAGCAAAAAGGGTACAATGGGTGATTCTCTTGGAATCAGGACTTTGAACAACTGCTTCTGAAACCATTTTTCCAAAAATGAAGAAGTAAATATGTTTGAAAGAGAACTGAGATTAATTCAGAACATTTTTTGACACAAAAGAGATTCATACTGAGTATCTGACTAGCTTGATTATTAACAGACTGGAAACATCAGAACTGTATTGCATACAGAGCTGAAAAGTATATTTCATGTAACACTGCTACTTGTACCTAACCTCAAATGTCAGAGATCTCTCATATATATTAGCTGGGTTTGGGTCAATATGGCTATCACACAGAGGAGGAATTTGCTGTGAAGAATTTTCATACTTTATATGAACAAGGTCTCTGAGGCATAGCCCAGAAGAGGTTGGATAATGCTGTGGAGGCAGGATTATACCTTTGTTTTCTTCTCTCTGCTTTCAGACAATGACAATGGATTGTCATGTGTGATTGTTTCACAGTTAGACTTGGTCTGTAGCCAGTACAGACAATGCCTCTGTTAACACATGCTCAGCCTAA